ATCAATTGCCCCACTGGTTCTCAGTTGACCCTATGAGAATTCAGATTTTGTGTGAGCTCAGGTGCCTTGGTCCAGACCTCTACCAGGACAATAGGAGCTCAGCTTGGTTGAAGCCTCCTGCTGGACAGTACCTGCCTGGGCCCAGTGCCCAGGAAGGAAGGTGGAGACCTTGGGACTTCAGCTTTCCATGGTGTTCACTGTGATACTGTTGTGGGCTAGTCAGAACCCTACCCCAGCCCCTACAACCACACCCAGAACCAGGAGAGTACCTCCCTAGAGGCTGAGGATTTGGAAGCATTGTTTGCAATGATGACCACCATCCCTGGGTCTCTGGCTAGCACTCCCAAGCGTGCTGCTCCAGTGTCCCCTGCATGGGCTCATCCCTCACTCCTCACCTTTTCCCCTTCTCGAACCCTTCATGACATCTGAGTAGTGATGGAGGGTCCCCTTGTAGTGTTAATCTCTTCATCGAGTATTCTGTTCACCCTCTGCCTCAACAGGAGGGAGGCCCTCCCTGAGGGACACACTTCCCTGTGCCCTCTCCAGGAGACTATTTTCCTTCACACTCATGCCCCCCAGGGCCAGGTGGGGTAGGTGGTATTTTTCCCTGTCCCTGCTCCTACATGGCTCCTTCCTGTTTTCCCTTTGGAGCTCCAGGTATTAGACTTCTACCTTCCCACCCCCATCATCATTGTCCCCCTTGTCTCTACATTCCCCTGATTTCCTCACAGCTCCCCATCATGCCAATCTGGATTCCTGGTTCACCTCTTTCTTCTCCATCACCAATCCAGCCATCATTCCTGCAGCCCGAATGTCTGTGTGGGGGACCCAGCCCACACTCGCCCTCTTCTCTCAGCCCCTTGATCTCCCACCTTTGACTGTCCAACCTTAGCCTCCACTCCCACAGTCACACCTGGGATCTCATCACTACCAGGAACTGACCTCCTCTGAAGTGTCAGACTCAAGCATCCCATACTCTGACCACACTTCCAACCTTCTGATTCACACACTGTTGTCCCTCCTCTATAACGTGTCTCATCTCATTGACTCCTCAAAACCATTGACATCACTACCTCTTCCCCCTATCTATCATCTACCTCCATCTTTCATTTCCCTCCAGTCATGGGCTGAGTTGTGTCCTCTCAAAGTCCCCAAGTTGAAGTCCTAACTCCCCAGTATCTCAGAATAGGACTGTATTCGGAGGTGAGATCTTTATTGAGGTAATTAAGGTAAAATGAGGCCCTAATCCAACATAACTGGTGACCTTGTGAGAAGAAATTAGGACAGAGATATGCACAGATGGGAGACCACGGGAAACACGGGGAGAAGACAGTCATCTACAAGCCAGGGAGAGAGGCCTCAGAAGAAACCAACCATGTCCACACCTTGATCTCAGACTTTTAGCCTTCAGAATGGTGAGAAAATAAATTTCTGCTGTTTAAGCCACTCAGTCTGTGGTACTTTGATATGGTGGCCCAAGCAGACTACTACACTTCCTTACTCATTTCAGACTCTAACATTATAACCATTCCCTTGCCATACTTTCCCCCTCTTTCCCTCGGTTATATTCTCCAACCAAGGCTGAACCTAGTGACCCATTTTTCTTTGCCTGAACCTGAGAAGATGTACATTGTGAGGCAAAAAATTGCAAAACAAAGCTAATTGATTTCTAAAATGTATGACCCCCAAGCCCTTAAATATGAGCTCAACAGAATCCTTAAATCTCATCAAGTTTTCCAAGAGACCATTTCATTGTTCTCTTTTGTCTTGAGAATCCCACCCCCACTTCTCTCCACCCAGGGCCATGGCTCTGCTGATCTGAGACCCAGAAGCCATCAGTCAGGAACCTTCTCACATTCCCACTACCACAGCCATAGATGCCCATGGACCGCAGGCCCAGGTTTCAGTTTCCCCTGTACCAAGCAAAGGCTTCTTATTCTCTGGGTTCCATTTCTTTTTGCCTTTGCAAGAATCTCATGCCTCCATTCCTCTCCTTTGTCCTCATTAATGATTTCTCTTACTGGAGTACTTCCAATATAGTTGTCTACATACAACTATGAACTCGCCTCTCCTACTAAAGATGCTTTTCTTGACCCTCATCTTCTTACAGCAACTGCTCCATTTTTCTGCTATTTTAATACCAAAATATCTGAAAACAGTCATCCATGCTTAACTGATTCTACTCATTGACAGTTTCATCAATTTCTTCCTGCTGTTGGATCATACTTACGAGCATACAACCATTCATTCTTCCTACTCCCCAGTCTGATCTCAGTGAAGGTCAGCAATGACTTGGGGTTGCCAAGCTCTGTGTCTCATCTCTGTCCAGCTCTTCCCTAAGCTCCCAGTAACATTCCAAGTGGTTGGCTGCTTCCTCTTTCCCTTTGGATCTTCATGACTCATCTCCTGGTTTGCTCTTGACTTCATGGGCTGCTCTTTCTCAATCCCCTTTGCATCTTTCTCTACCTGACCTCCAAGGACCCATTCTGCTATTTCTAGATGATCTCACGCAGGTCCATGACTAAATATCACTTATGTGCTGATAGCTCTCAAATTTATGTCTCCCCACTGACCTCTCTCTTGAGCTCCAGACACATAGATCTAATTTGACATCTCCACTTAGATGACTCAAGGCATCTCAAACCTGACATACTTAGAAAGGGCTTCATTCTGTAGCCACTTTGCCCACCTGGTTCCCATCACAGTGAATGGTACCACCATCTACTAGGTTGCTTAAATTAAAAATTTAGGAATCTTCCTCACTTCTCTTTTCCTCCTTATACTTCTACTTTGCGATATATCTGGACCCCACCCATGTCTTTTCATCTTTACTATCAAACTTAGTCCAAGCTGCCATCTATACTGAAATCCTTTCCTAAATGGTTTCCCCTCCATGAGTAGGGGAGGCTCTGGGGAGGAGGGCTCTGTGAAGGACTGGTTTCCTGCTGTGCAGATGACACAGATTAATCAGATCTCTGAAGGAGAGGCGTGTGGGCCCTTCCTCTCTGTCACGCTTCCTTCAGAAACAGTACTTCCATTCAGAAAGCCAGATCAAGTGCCATTAACAAATTAATTCCGATTAGCACAACCCAAGCACTTAAACCTCAAGGCAATCCCTGTCAGTCCTACAGGGAGATAGCTTGGCTGGCTAATAAAGTGGAAACTGTATTGGAAGCAGAGGCGATTGTTTGATGCCTGTCTCTGTCCCTGGAGGGGAGAACAGTGGGATTTGATTACACCATGATCTCCTGAGGGAATTAACTCACTTTCTAATGGTAAGTTATTAATTTTCCAACTTGGTAGTTGGGTCTGTGAGAACAGGGTCAGCTCTCATTCCCCCTTGTGGCCCCTGCAGCCCTCAATTTAGGACTGAGCATTCTGTAAGTGCCCCATGATTGAATAAAGAAATAATTAACTGGTAGGTAGGCAAGAAGCCTGGGACCTACTATCATTAGTAACCATTCGTTCTTCTATATAACAAATATAACTGGGGCCCCACTGTCTTTGGCAAAGTAGATTAAAAAGTTAATCCAAACAAATAAGGCCCCTGTTCTCCTAGAATTTAGAGACTAGGGAAGGGAGGCAGATAATCAGCACGCATAAACAAATGAGAATCTAAATTCAGAGTGACAAATTCAATCATTGTAAGAAAGCAGGACAAGGTGACAGTGTGTTGAGTGGGGGATGCTCTAGGGGACTTGAGGCAGTGACACCTGAGCTGAGCACTGGATGGTGCAAGGAGCTAGTTAACTTTGATGAAATAATTTTCTAAGGAGAGGGATCAGAAAATGCAAGTGCCTATTGCCAGAGAACCAGACTCTACCACCTTTTTATTCTTTCCATACATCCAGCATGGCCATCTTTGCCTGCTGGTTGTTCTCCTTGCAGAACCAGGCAGGGCAGGCACGTCCTTGGGGCCAATTAGCTTTGCTCATAAACCGCCTGCCTACCTGGATGCTACCCCTCCTTCCTGCCCCTCTCACTCATGTCTCAGAGCTTTGCATAATTCCCACTTTTTCAAATGAAGCCTTTCAAAAACCTCCCAAGTAGGAAGGCTCCCTCCTCTTGATGAAGTCCTGGAACACTTATTGGTACTTGCTATCTTATTGCTTTACATGGGTAGATGCTGCATTACTGTGTACTTGAATCTGATTCCCATGCCTTTCCTTTCACTGTCCAGGGGGCTGCTCAGGGGCAGTGGCTTCATCCTCTCTGCCTCTTATATTTTCCGGGCCTAGCCCAGGTCCTTAGGAAGTCTGAATGGACACTTGGCCAAATGAGAGCCCAAGGTGCAGATGGAGGTCCATCTCTGGAGGAACATGGAAGCCTCACCTTTATCCTGGAATCTCTAATGTAGACAAGAAAGGAAAGCATTCCATCCAATTCCTGGGAATAGAACTGGCTTTAGATTTGAAAATTAGTTTCCAGAAGGGTGATTTAAAAGATTTAAGACTATTACCAGCTTTCTTATGAGAATGCTTAGAAACTTTCATAAGAGCAGCAGCCACCCAGAAGGATAGGTCAGTTTGAAGATGAAAAGTTTGAGGACTGAGAAATCACGTGAAGAAGGCAGTGAGCCACCCTCCCAGATCTGGGCTCTATCCCATATCTCCATGTGACAGCTCTCCCAGTGACTCGGACCCCTAAAATGAGTACCATCCCTGCCCACCAGTAAAGCACAACTGCTTAATTGTAGCCAGCCTTCCTCCAGCTCAAAATCTTTCCTCCCTCAATAATCCCAGACATCCCAAGATTCCAGTGCTAGTCAGTCTCACCCAGGAAGCTAGAATATTTCCAGATGAAATATGAGGGTACAAAAGGTGCCGTCAGCGTCCAGGATCCTCAGCTGACTTGTTGTCAGGTCCTGAGTTGGAGGGAGGCCTGAGCGTCCCATATTATGGCAAATGGGGATGAGGCATGGTGCCCGACTGTAGAGGAAGGAAAGCCAATGGGCATGATGATGAGATGAGCATGGAGATGTGCTGGGCACTCCTGCTAACCTTTCACGAGGACCGTCCTGGCCTCAGCCCACTCGCTCCTCCCTTCTGACGTCAGCAGGCCGATTGGAGGCAAGCGTTCATCCTCGTTGGAAGCCATTTTGACTATCTTTCTCAACTGAGTGAACAGATCCCCCTCACTGAGACGGCGGAAATTAATGACAACATCCAAGACAAAGAACTGTGGGGGAAACAGGTCAAACACGTCACTCATAGCAGCTGGCCCAAGGTGAAGGGCCTTCACTGAGCCTACACCTGTGAGCACAGGTGGGGATACTCAGGCCCAAGGATCTTAAGGTATGTGATGGTTCTGAACAGTCACAAGTTGGGGACCTACCCAATGCTGTTGACTGTGCTGGACTCCAGGCTTCCCCAAATCAAAGAAGGCCAGATTAAACTTAGCTAAAATAAAACTTGCTTCTGTGGTTCTCACTTCATGTAAAACTATTATGTTTGTGGGGAATTAAGTATAAATTGCTACAACTAGTATTGGAGGGCAATGTCTGTCCAGCCAAATTGTGCATACCTTATGATTCAGCAGCAACTACTCTTATAAATACATACTTTAACCTAAGGCTTGGAGAAACATATACTCTCGTGCCCAGAAGACATGTGAAAGAGTGTGCATTTAGGCTGTATTTGCAATAGCAAAACAGTAGAGAGAGATCAAATATTTTTCAGCAGGGGAACAGCTAAGTTAGATGTAGTGTATTCATCTAGTGCACATCCACTCAGCAATTAATAGGAATAAACTAGCTCTAGATACAGCTACAGGGATAGACATCAAACACAATGGTGAGTGGAGAAAAAAAGCAAGTTAGCAAATAATATGCAGAGGAAGATTAAAATGTAAAACATGCAAAATGCTCTATCCTTATGTGTGCGCATATACATGTGTGCATGTGTGTGTTCCAAATGAGGCCTGTGAGCTGTCTGTCATTCAGGAGCTTTGAAGCTAAGGTCTTGGGCTTCGTGAAAAGTCTTATCCCTAGCCCCAAGTCAAGATCCCTTTTCTGCCAGTTGATATGAGTGCCTGGTCTCATGCCCTGAGCAGCAGATACATGGCCTGGTCCAGAGCAGGAGCCCTGAGAGTATTTCTGGAATGGATGAATAGTGCAGCATGCAGGAGCTGGGAAATTCTGAGTTTGACTTTTTAATGAAGATGGAGAAAAGTTCTTATTTGTGGCCAAACTGCATCAGGGAGGCTTCTGGTGGGAATAGCCAACCTAGGATGGCAGACTTTCACTGAGCTTCTATCTTAGACTGAAAGAGCCAGGTGAACCCAAGAAGAAAACATGGTAGCACAAATAGCAGGGGAATCTATAGAGTAGGTGTCAAACTTGAGTTTTAGAAGAAGAAGAAAAAAAGAAACAAAAACAACATCAAACAAAAAAACCCCACTAAAACCCAAAGCCAAAACAGCACCAAAACAAAAACAAAAAGCAAAAAAACAAAAACAAAACAAAACAAAACAAAACAAAGAAGCCCCAAAACAGCTTCTTGTCAGATGAAATAATTAGGTGGAAGCTCAATATAGAGAATCTATAGTCTGATGAGTGCTGCTAAGGGGTCAGGAACCTACATGCTTAGCCTGTCTCCTGGGTCTTCATGGGCCCTTGTGGGCTCCTGGAAGCCAGTGTGAAGACCTGAGCTGCAGGAGGCAGGGTATGAGCAGGCGGTACTGGCCAGGCCTATAAGGCCTTCTCAGCCTTGGACAGGCCACTCAACTTGTTTGAGGCCTCATTTCCTCTTCTGTCAGATGGGGATTCCAAGCACCTCTGCAGGTCACTACTGAATCAGGAGGGATGAATAAGTGCTGAGCCTAGCACCTGGACATGGAGGTCTGGACAGTCAGTCCGTAAAGGTGTCCATCTTCTGTGTGTGGTCTCCAGGAAGGCCGCCACCTGGGTTATTCATGAGGATTGCTGAGGCCACGCTGGGTCTCATTAAAAGCCCACCGTCCATTCAGACCAGCTGACCTGGCTGATCAGGGCCAAAATGGGAGCCCACTGAAGTCATTCTCAATCGATGACTCTCCTTGTACTCATGGGAGATAAATGGGACTGACCAGGAGTTGAGAGAACCTACTCTATCCTAACTCACTGAGTGCCTCCAAGGGGAGGCTGAGCATCCCTGGTGAAACAGGAACTGACATGTATTCATGCATCCTCCCCAGGGTGGAGAGGCTGCAGCAGAGAGGGCCAGGCCACTTACCTGGTTACAGCAGGCCACGATGATGTGCTCTGGCTCGGGCATGACACTGCTCTTCTGTGCCACCAGTGTGTCCTGGGTGTGGCCGGGGAGCCGGTAGGAGGAAAAGAGCCCGTAGTATTGCTTCATACAAAGTGGCTGCCCTGACAGCTGGCCCTTAGCACAGTCAGGAGGGATGGAGTGGCTGGAGAGCAGGGAGGGAAGCAGGGGATCAGAATTGGGTCTACTTGACTTGATTAGGCAAAGCAGGGCACAAACACCAGAACTGCATTAGGATGGCAGTCAAAGAGCCACTTTCTGAAGTGGTGGAGTTCTGTGTTTCCACAGCCCATGGAGGGGTCCTCAGGGTTTTCTCAAGCCTCTGAGAGTCTCCCTCATCACTGCCTCAGGCACTACATGCACAGAACTTTCATATTTGCCCTCATGACTTCACTCGTGCTGATCTTTGCTTGGCATGCCTTCACCCCACCCCTGTGCTCAACGAACATGTTCAGAAAACTCCTACTATTTCAGGAGCCTACTCTTCCATCATCTCTTCTAGAAGCCTTCTCTGAGTTCAAGGTAGAAATTTCTTTCTTCTGAGGTCTCAGCATCTCTTGTGTTCTTTACTCGCTCCCTTCCCTTCTGCTCTGCCACTTCCTCCTCTCTCTTCTCATTCTTTCTCCCTCTAGCTCTCTCTCCTTCCTCCCTCCCTCCTCCTTCTCCTTCTCCCTCTGTCTCTCCACTCTCTCTCCTTCCCTCCCTCCCTCTCAGGCAACACATTTTATTGAGCACTCCTCTGTGCCAGGCACATTTATTTCTATGATCTGGGGTTATAGTGGCAAACAAAACATGAGTGATGGGACACAGATCCTGGGATGTGTAAGTGGGGCGTAGATAACAAGCAGCAAGCTGATAAATGAGAGGGTTTCAGGTAGTGAGACAGGGTGACAAGGACCAGGTGTGAACTGAGCCCTGAGGATAAGAGGCAGCCCTGAGATTAGCTGGGGCAGAGTGAGGGTATGGTGTCCCTGGCCCTGCTGCTCAAAGTGCAGATGCCGCTCTGAACTCTGCGAAGCAGAAGCAGCTCTCAGAAACTTTTATAGCAAGTTAACTGAGGAATTCTATGTGTGTTAAATCTAAAATAAAAACAAAATATATGGTTGTGTATTCTGTGCCTTTGTACCATTTTTCTGTGAATTCATTTTTGTACTGTTTTACATTTCATAAAGTTAAAAAATACATTGGTCCTTCACCACAGATCATCTGAGGAACACCTGTCCAAGCTGGAGAGGAAACCAGAGAGGTTGAAGCCTGGTACATAGGCTCAGCGTGGGGAGACCATTCCCCTCAATTGGCAACTAGCAAGGCTGAATCCACCATCACCTCGCTCCCATGACTCCTTCTCTGCCTTCTCATGCATCCCCTAAATTCCTGAGGCACATAGCATTTTAAAGAGATCATGGAAGGACAGTGATCACCCTAGGAAAAGGAACCATTAATGTTCAGTCATGTTAGCTGGGGTTAACATTATCCTGATGCTGGAGGAGTTGGGATGGGGAAGGGGTGAGGAGTCTACCTGCCCTGTGACAGGACCCGGGAATCCAGGGCTGGAAAAAGACAAGGTCTTTGCCTTCTGGGAGCTCCGTGGCTAGTGTGGCAGGGAGACAGATGACTCAACAGGCTGTGCCAAATTAGGGCACTACCCTTCCCAGACTGGCCCCAACCTACCTGTCCAGCAGCGTCTTGTAGTGGAGCACACCAGAGATGAGGCTGGCTGCAAACCTGCAGAGAGAGATCAGGGCTGAGGTTCTCCTCTTAGGGGCTCAGGCTCCTTCCCTCTCTCCCACTCTCCTCTCCCTGTACTCCACATCCCTCTCTCAAGCTCAACCATCCCTCCCCGACCCTGCTGTAGGCATGCTGCCAGTCTTTCACAAGCCTTGGATTAAAATGGTCTTGTGGAGATAACTAGGAGTAGAGGGCCCTGGAAGGTAAATGGGGAGGAGGAGAAGAGTTGGAAGAGGAAGCTGGGAGAGGCCAGAGAGCAGGCAGGAAAAGGCTGGATGGTCAGGGGTGGGGGTTGTCCCTAGGAAAGGCCTGTGCTGGGGCTGAGCTAGACCGGGAACCCAGGTTTGGGGAAATCCAGCCTCCTAGGAAAAGTCAATAATTTGGTCCCCTTAGTGCTAATGAAAATGAAAGTGGGTGCTAGGGGAAAGAAAAGTCACCAGAGGACTGTGCCATAGGACTGTGTCATCTTAACTGTCCATGGATGATGACCCTGCCCCCTTGGATGCAGATTGACAATTGTTTTCAGAAGCTGTTCATCCATCTATCTGCACACTTCCTTTTGCCCACGGGAGGTCCAGGCTGCAGGCTGCCTGACCAGCAGCTGGGTTGGGCTAGTCCCCATGAGGAAGGAGGGAATGAGGGTTTTCCTGGCGCAGCTGAGTCCTGCTCATAGGCCGATGTAGGCCCCTCCTCTTTTGTTTGTTTTTGTTTTGCTTTTCTTCTCTGAGCTGCCCCTGTGCTGTGCCACATTGGGCTAGGATCTGCGAGATCACTGTAGCAAGACCCTTCCTCCCTGCCACATCCCTGTGTATATGTTCATTGCCCCTCCTGCTCCCCCCCAACCCCCCAATCAACATCAGCGGGCCCAGAGGCCATTCCAGTGGCTCAGTGAGCCCTGAAATTGCAGCAGATGGCAGAGGCTCTGGTGGCGGCAGCTGGCAGGAAAGAACCATTTCCACCCCCTTGGAGCCTCTGTTGAGAGCTGTGGGCTGGTGGGGGCACAGCAGAGGCCGTCTCAGACAGCCTGGGGCAGTGCATCCAAGGGACAAGTCCAAGCCTCAAGTACTGGTGGGGTCAGAGGATACACACCTCCTTCCAGAGCCTCAGCCAGGTGGAGAATGCCATGGGAACACCTGGGAGCCCATGACCTCCTCTAGTGCCCACCCCAACCAAAATAAATATGTTCTGAGGAAGACTGGGTGTTTGTCACTCACATAGCAGCCTCATCTAACCTATTTCCTGGACCACAGCCTGGACAGCCTCTGTCTCAGGGGCATTTGGCCTTAGAAAGCTCAGCCAAGGCACAAGCCTCGATCTTTTCTTCCTGGTGCTGGGGCTAGGCCCCAGTCAGACTCTCAAGTTGTGAACCTAGGAGCATGGTGGCCTCACCTTAGCTGGTCACTTGTATCTTGGAAGTGCTGCCGGGCAAAGATCACTGCTGGGCTGGAGTTTACAGGCAGGGCCAGGCGGTTATTGAGATACATGTCATTCAGCCAGTATTCAGACACCTGTTGGGGAGAATGAGAGGGGCGCCATTACTCCCAGCTGTCATACACACCCCTCTGAACAAGATCACCTTGCCTGTGAAGAGTGCCAGTCCCATCCTGGCAGCCCCACGGGACAATTGGGACACTTTGTTGGATCATACACCTCATTCATTCGCTGTACAAACACATACTGTGCCCCAGGTATGTGCTAGGGGAACTGTGTGCATTCTGGTCCACCATGACTGACCTTCATCTTTGCCCCATGCCATTTCTCTCTTCCATCCTAGTTTCCTATTCTGGGTGTTTGGTACTTCATCCCTGTCCCCTGCCCATCCTACGTGTGCTCTATTCCTGCTTTGCCCTCTTCTTTGCTTCCCTGAGCTAATCCCCATCTTCTGCTGTCCCATCTCTGTCCCCCGTCTGTCTCCATCTCTGTCCCTTGTCTTACTTTGTTGCCCCATTTCTATCTCTTACGCTCTCCTATCCATTCCCCCATCCCTGACCCCCATTGTCTTCCACCTCTATACCCTGTCTCTCTCCATCACTTCAACTCTATCCCCATCTGTCCCTTCTTGGTCCCCATCCTGTCTGTCCCTCATTTTTGCCCCTTGCAATACCCTTGTTTCTCTTCTCTTCCCTCTCCCCCAATCTGTCCCATCTTTGTTGCTTACCTGCCCTTCATCCAAATCCCTGTCTTCAAGTCTACTCCCTGTCCCCCACCCTGTGGGTCCCTTGTCTGCACTGCACCCTTGCCAGCTCCCTGCAGTCTGCCCCTCTCAATAACTCTTACCCAATTGGCAGTCTTCTCCTGTCGTTCCAGGAGCTTCTGCTGTAGGGTCTCACCAAGGCCACCAGGGGCCCCAAACTGCTGCACGATGGCCTGGCTCCTCCTGAACTGCTCCTCAGGTACTAGGTGCTGCATGCATCGCAGATAAGTGGCCAGGGTCTGCTGCAGTGGGGGCACTGGCAGTTTGGGCAACTTCTGGAAGAGAAAGTTCATAGGCACTTTCTATGCCTGTTCTTATGTGGGGTCCATCAGTAGGCATTAGACCATGCCTGTCCCCAAGTTGGTCTCCAGTTGGTGTCTCCATCAGTCCCCATCCTTGTTCCCTATCTTGAGTCTTGCCTATTTCCAGGGCTCAGCTCAGCGGAATTCTGACTTTAAGAAGCTTCTGTCATTTTTTCTGGTACCTTAGCCCTGCCCCCAAGAGGGGATAAAGTGTAGAGGAGAAGACCTTGATGTTTGTACTGAGTTCATGCACTGACCCTGATGCTGACAAGCTGCATGATCTTAAGCAAACCACCGCCCTTCTGTGCCTCAGTTTCCTCCCTTGTAAAATGGGCGTTAATAGCCTCTACTTCTCATAGGATCAAAGAGATCCTATATGAAAATACTTTTAAACCACAAAGAATAGGTCTAAGATGAAAGAAACCTGTCATTGATATTGGCTGTTGGTCACTGTTAATTTAGGAATTGTTCCCAGCTGGGGCTTCAGAAGCTAGTTTATCTCTGGACACAAAGGGTGTTATACTCATGGAGAGATTTTGGCTCTTTTACATCTCCTCCTTTTCCTTCTTCCTCACTGAGCTAGTCACAGTCAGAAACCACTTTTCATATTACAGATTCAAGTTTACAAAATTGGTGGTAGGGGGCCACCTTCTTTCAGGGGTTTTTCTCTTTGGGGTGGTGGGGCCAGGCTGTGGAGTAAAGGGACCCATTGAATGCTTGCCTCTGCTCGGCTCCTGCTGCAGCATGGGCTGGAGCCCTCCCTGCAGCGGCCCTGGGCAGACAGGGACCAGTATGGGAGCCTGTGCTGATGAAAGAATGGGAATCCTTGCCTGCCCAATCCTGTCTTTAGGGCTCACTGCCCTAGGGGGAGGAAGGGGGAGGTCATTGCCAGTTATGGGCTGCTCCTGCCCCAGCGAATGCTCAAGGATGAGGGTGGTCTGGGCAGCATTCTAGGTTGCTTAGTCCACTTCAAGAAAGTCAGGTCCAGGCCCCCCAACCAGCCATTCGGTTTCCCTTTTCCTTCTCTTGGGGTCTGGGGGTCTGTGTGGTGGGGGAGTGGGCAAGCACAGCCCAGATGGTGGCCTTGCCAAGAGTGTCAGCAGGCCTGTCTGGAGTCTGTGCTAGAAACAGGGTACCTTTCCTCAGGGCTCTGATAGTGTTCTGGGGCTCAGTCATAGGGAATCAGTGATGGGTAAAATGGAATGAGGCAGGAAATCTTGGCTCATACATCTCAGTCCCATGGGGCTTCTCTCTAGATTCTCCTGGGCTTCTAGCTGAGGTCTGGGGCTGGAGACAGGGACATGTACTGAGAGTCTTTGGACCCTAGGGTCTCAGGTCAGTACACATTTCACAGGCACGTCATGTGAACCAAGCCTGGACTGTACTTAGGGACAATGGAGAGAGAACGCCTGCTCTCAAGGAAAGGGCATGCCATGGACCAGATTCAACAACAGAGACGTTCGTGAGCTGTAAGTCAGGGCAACATGGTGAGCAATTTCATGGGGAGAATCCAAAAAATTCTGATTAGGGTTTCAAATGAAGCCCCGGGTAAAGAGGTGGCAAGAAGACAGAAGACAAATGTAGCAGAGGGGCAGACGCTTCAACAATCTGGAGATCAGATGTGCTGCTCCATCGCTTAAGAAGGTGGGGAAGGAGGATGCCTACCTAAGGAGAGTGGCAGTGTCTTAGGCAGTGGGGAAGATGGTGCCTAAGGCTCCAGGACTGAGCCAGCAGCTGAGGCTGGGATATGACAAGGCTTAGAGAGTTCAGTCTTACCCTAAGGCAACTCCACCAGGATCAAGGCCTTTGGAAGTGAAACCTGGGAAAAGGAAAAGCCTAGGGAGAAGAGTATCTAGCCCAGGTCAGGGGCTCTTCCTGGCCTTAGGAATAAGGATGTGGCTATTAGCATTTCTTCAACATTGCCTGAAGCCACTCCTAGGCCCTCCAGGCTCTCCCAGGATCCTCAGCAGGCTCAGGGCAAGACTGCAGCCTGGGTGGGCTTCATGCCCAGGAGAGGACAGGGCTAGTGGCCAGGCAAGTGCTGAGGCCAGTTACAGGACTATTCTGGAAGCAGGGGTGTGTAAGTGGGGAGGGCAGGGATGAGAGACAGGACTCTAAAAGTCACTCACAGGCTCCTCCTCACTGCTGGGAGTTTTTGTTGCTGTCTTATGGGGAGCTTTTTCCAGTATAGGCATCTTGGTGACTCCTGGCTGGGGAAGCAGAGGTGCAGACCTGAGGACCAAGAAGCAGGGAGACATCAGTACAACAGCCACATAGAGTTGTCATGGACCCTTTTACCTTCCGTAGTCTAACCCTCCACCCCTACCCTGTAAGGAAGCCAGAGCTAGACATGGGCCCCAATCACACAGGACCTCACTGCAGGTCCCAATCTCCCAACCTCCAGACCAGCCTCCCTAACCACGTGTCCTTTCCGAGTCCCCAAAGAAGTTAGAGTGGGGTCTAAAGCAAGTCTTTAGCTGATACCTATTCCATAAGACTGTCACCCAGACTCAACTGACCACCCTAGGCCAGAATGGGAAGGAGCTTGTTGGGCTTGCTCACTCCAAATCATAAAGGGGTCATTGGCAGAGCACTTGCTTTGTTCCTGCCTAGGACTCAACAGATACATGTTTTGCTGATTAAGATCTCTCCTACTAGACTGCAAGCTTCTCCTGTTGTGTTCAGGGCTTCACCTCTGGGACCTAGCCAGTGACTAGCATGGAGTAGGATCAGTGTTGGGCAGCTGAATTGAAGGAACGCATGCTTGCATGAATGCACGAGTAAATGAATACATGTCCTCTGAGGCTGTGGGCTCCAGGAGGCACTCTGGGCTGACCGGGAGCCTGGCCTGTGGCCAAGACAGGGGTTGTGGTGGAGGACCCTGGGGCCTGCTGGATGGACTGTGACTTAGGCAATCTCTGGTTTGCAGGCCCCTAGTGTAGGTGGCATGGGAACACTGAGGAGATGCTACAGGGCAGCTGGGCAGTCCAGGACTCTAGGGGTCACCTGATTCAGCCTGGAGAGAAATGGATTAATTTTTTTATTTGCAGTAGAAGTGACCCAGGACAAGAGGGGCAAAGGCCTATTTAAGACTACCCTCTACCCTCAGCATATTCCCAAAGCAGAGCCTCAGAGCGACACACTCATGATTTCTACTCATCCATCCCCTATTCTCTCCCAAGAGCCTAAAGCTGATGTTTAGTCCATTGTATCCCCCACCCCCACCCCAGGCAAGCATAGCCCAGGTGGGGGCTAGGCTCTAGGCACAGCTGACCCAAGGACAGAGCTTCCAGAAAGATGATGAATCAGGCTCAGGAATGGAGAAGCCTGGGGCTGCCCGGCAGTACTAGCAGAGAATACAGAACCTACATGAACTCCATGCCAGGATGCTGTGCACTAGGTGGTCCCTAGACCTGCTGAACAGCATAGTCATTGCCCCTACACCCAGCAAAATGGAAACAGTGGTATACAAGTTAGGGTCCACGGCAGGGCTGTAGAATTTGGAAAGGTCAGTGAGGGCAAGGTCAAGTTGGTAAAGGTCCTAGTGTGACTGGACACCCCATATCTTGAAGAGGTGTGAGGTTGGAGCACTATGGCTCCCTGGGGACCAAATGGGAGGGCCTGGTCCTGCTGGGCAGAGGGCTGTTCCCCCCCCCCCCCCCCCTGGGCCAGGAATTAGGCGATGAATGCGGATATGTATGCGTATCTTTTTGCCTCTGATGCCCTCCAATCCATGCTGCCACCAGCCTGGCTTCCCAAGGCTGCCGGGATGGGGGGAGGTCTCTCCTCTGAACTTGAGGCCCAATCGGAGCTCGGCCTCCGCAACACAGGCACCATGTAGGGACTCCCTGGGACCTAGCTCACACTTGCCACCTGAGGCTGCTCCCCACCTCCCACCTCCGCGAGAGTCGGGCGCGTACCCGCAGATCAGAGGGGTCCGGGTGAGGCCTGCCGACGCCCTGACTGGGCACACAAAATGCAGACCTTGGCATTTAGCAGATGGGGATCCAGAATAGAGAAGTGAGGACACGCACGTGGAGGCGCGGAGCATGATGACCAAGCCTCTCCAAGCCCTTTCCCCCTAACTTCTCGCCGTCCTGCTCCCGGTCCTTCTGCCTCCACAATCCGTGGGGAAGCGCCAGAGCCGCGGAATCCCACAATCTCCCGGCGCTTCCCCGACGGCCACTTTGGTTCAGGACTCGGCAAATGCCGCGGATCCTGGGGCCTGCGGACCCCGGCGCCATCCCTGGACGGAGCCCTCCTCCACGGCCCTCGGCTCCCTGCGCTCGGCTCCCGCGCGGCGCTCCCCCGCCCAGCCCCTCTCACCTGTGCTCCCGGTTCCGCCGCGTTGGCCACCGTACCCGGGCACCAGGCAAGACTGGGCGCGGGAGTGTGGGCCGGAAGGGATCCAGGGGCGCGTCCGCAGTACGGGGGTGGGGGCCTCTGTACGCGGTCGAGCCTCCGACGTCGCCGGGTCCCCGCGGCCTCCCTACTGGATGCCAGCGGACCGGCCGCGCCTGCCTCTCCTTCCTCCTGTTCCTCCTCCCTCCCCTCTCTTTTTCTTCCCTCCCTCAGCCCCACCCCGTTTCTCCCGCTCCTCCGCCCTCGCCCCCACCCCCGCCGCCTGCGGCGATCCCACCTCCAGGCCCCCTGCCCCGGCTCGGACGGTTCCCCGAACGAGTTTGTGTCAAGGCAGCGGAATCCAGGCAGGAAAACGGGGTGCAGAACATTGCCCAGCCCGTGCTCATTGCCCCCTGCCCAGCCTTCCCCAGTCCCGGTGCTCTCCCAACTTCATTATCCTAGCCCCGCCTGCGTCCGCACAATCCTGGGGGAAGGGTTGGGTCTGGGGAAATCTGTTCCCTCCCCGCCGTCTAGGCCAGGCTCAAATCATACTACAACTCCTTTCAAAATGATAATGATAATCATCATCATCATCATTCTGTTTGTTGATCACTGGAGGTCCTCCTTCCTTGCTGGCGCTATGGGGAGGAGGGGGTGGGGAGGAGTGGAGATACAGACCTGGGGATGCTTACAGACAGGCAGCCAGAGGCATACAGTCCTCCCAGACAAAGCACTCCTCCCCCCCCTCCCCCCAGATAAAGATCCTTACACAGCAACACACACAGACAGACCCACAAAGACAGACCCTGCCCAAACACACACCCAGCCCAACACGCGATCAGAGGACAGATGTGCACACACCAGTAGTGAGGACTCTCAGAGGCATTGTTTAATACATAGGTGTACCCCAACTCTGCTGCCTCTCCATGCCAGAATTGTAAGGCTCCTCCGCCTTCAATCAGGCCGCAGACTCCAGGACTGGGAGTGGCCTGCAAACCGGGGCCTGCAGCTCCAGAGACCAGCACTCAAGGTGGGGAGATTTCTGAGAGCCTTGGCCAGATGCTTCCACCAAGGCAGGGGTAAGGGTGGGGGTAAGGGGGGTGGCACCAGCTCCCACATTGGCACCCTCTTCCCTTACGACTCAGACCCGCACAGCCAGGTCATAGCAGACACACCAACCTCTCCCCCACCCCTCGAAGGATAGAGCCTAGCTCTCTGACAAACACACATGACAGAGATCGGACCTCTGCCAGGAACAGGTCGGCCCCTACTCCTCACCGAGCCTGGACCCGGCAGGATGCCACGCTAAAGGGAGGCCCATCCCTGACGCTTCAAAGCCCAGTGACTGACACAGGGAGTGTCCTCAAGGGGCGGTGCCTAGCGCACCCGGAGATAGCGGGTCCTCAGGCTCCCCCGGGCGGCACCCTGGGGCGCTGCGTTGGGGCTGGGAGGGAGGGGCTGTCGCGGGCTAAAAGGAAGTGGTGTCCGAAGGTGGGAGCCTTTGCTGGATTTGCTTTATTTCTACCTCCTCTACTAGGCAGCAAAAGAGCCACAGGCGTCCCTAGTTCTTGCCAGGCCCAGACCTGTATTAGGGCTAGACCCAGCTCACCCTCCCCTCTGCCCTGGCCCTGTGCCCGGCCGCCCACCCTCATCAGTAAAGAGACTCGGTCTCGAACAGATATAGTTTATTGATTCGGGCCGGAAGCACCGCGGTGCAGGGCGCCAACTTGGCACTGAGAGAAATGGGAGGAAAGACAGACAGACGCACGGTTCTACACAGAGGAGCCCCGAGGTGGCGCCTCGCGCACCTCTTTATCTCCGCAGGACCAGTATCGCATCGCATGCCTCTGTGCTCTATGCCCCACTGGACGGGAGGGAGGGTGACACAGAAAGGGTCATAGACAGGGGACCCCGACGAGGAAGTCAAGACGGGCGAGGCTGGGCGAGGCTGTGGAGGCTGTGGAATAGTCGTTGGAAGGGGCCGGCCCTGAGCCTGAAGCCACCTTGACCCAAGAGGTGGGGGTGGGGGTGGGGGTGGGGGTGGGTGACCTGGAGGAGTAGCGGGGCTGCTAGCTGCGGGTGTAGTAATTGTTGTAGACGTCCTCGCATTCGTCAAAGGGGCCCGAAGGACTTCGGGGTGCGCCGTCCGGGTCCGACACCGGGCGCTCACGCAGGCGCACAGCATCATACAGACCCTGCGGTGGCTCCTCCAGCAGCACGTCGCGCTCCGAGCGGGAGCGCCTCAGGAGGCCCACGTTGCGCAGCAGCAGCAGGACGGGCGCGTAGAGCAGGTTGGCCAGGCCCATGCCAAGGCTAAGTTGCGCAAAACCGAGCGAATGCACTATGTGGCCCGCCACTATAGGCCCGAGCGCATAGGCCACGGAATAGGAGATGTCAGCGATGGCATAGACGCTGCCGTAGACCGAGACGTGGCGCACGTCCACGAGAAAGGCGAGGGTGGGCAGCAGTGCCGTGTCAACTAGCGCAATGCCAAAGCAGAGGCCGCAGAGCGAGACCACTAGCGGTGCGAAGGAGCGGCAGGCAGGCACCATGCAGGAGCTGGCTCCGATCACTGCCAGCCCGAGTGCTCCATAGAGCCACTGCAGGTGCGGGTAGCGCGCCGCCAGGCGCACGGTGAGGTAGACGCCTAGCACATGCGGCACAAAGGCTGGCAGCCAGGCCATGCCGGTCTCCCATTTAGATGCCGCCATCGTGTGCTCCATCCACGTGGCGATGGTAGGTTCGAGGAAGGCAAGGGGGATGTTGCAGGTGGTGAGTGCCCCGGCCACCACCGCGATGTAAGGGTCCAGCATGAGGCGGTGGATGGGTGTGCCCACCGGCAGGTTGGCCCGCGCCCTCGTCGCGGCGGAGAAGGGCTTGGCCACTACGAGCAGCAGAAGCGCGTCGAGCAGCGAAACAGCGGCCAGCACCAGAAAGGGCGTGTGCTTGCCCGCGAACTGGTAGAGGAAGCCCCCGAAGGGTGGCGCCACTAGACTTCCGAAGCTGATGAAGGCAAGAGCCACGCCCAACGCGCGACTGCGCTCGGGCTCCTCGGGATACTTGTCGGCGATCATGGCAATGCCGGACGTATCCGCAAAGGCCGAGCCCAGGCCCTGCAAGCTGCGCGCAGCGAAGAGCGTGGCGTAGTCCTCCGCGAACGCGAACAGCAAGGTGGAAGCGAACAGGACGCCCAGGCCGATGAGCAGCGGCACATCGTAGCTCATACGGTCGATGAAGGGCCCGCTCAGGGGGTTCACCAGCAGCTGCAGGATGGCCTTGGAGGCAAACAGCACCCCGATCTTCACGTCCTCATTCTCCGTCGCTGCCGTCGGGGACTCGGAAGTGTTGCCCATGTGGGCGCCGACACCGGCTGGAGTGGTCAGCTGCAGAGGGGACACTTCGGTGCTCGGGGTGGGCCTGCTGGCCTTTTGCATGCGGGCAATGTAGTCGGGCACGATGGGCACGATGACCATGTACAGCATGTTGTCCAGGAACAGCGCCACGCACACGATGACCAGCACCAGGCGCCGGTGCCGCCGGGGATCTTGCAGCGCTGCGCCCACCGCCTCTGACAGCTTGACGGCGGCCGCCCGGGCCCGGCCCGGCCCCGGCCCCGGCCCCGGCCCCGGCCTGCGGACTCTGCGGGTTCCATCGCCTTGCTCCGCCGCTCTTCCCAGGACGCCTTCGCGGGGCCGAGCGCCGGCGCCCTGCGGTGCGGAGACCCGGGCGCGGAACTTCGCGGGCGCGGTCCGCGCGGCGCGGCGCCCCCTGTGTCTCAGGTGGCTGCGGGGCTCATGGCCCTGTGTCCCGGGAAAGGCAAAGACCCTGCCCCTCGAGACGCCGCGGCTGTTGCGAGCCGAGCCCGGACCGGCCGCTGCTGGCCTCAGGGCGGTCAGGGAAGGCGGGCGAGCCGAGGGGCCGGGGCCGGAGCCAGAGACTGAGCACGCCGCGCCCCTGGCTCGCGGGGAGCCGTCCCCGAAGCGTGGAAGGGCCGCCCGCGCGGGCCGAGGGGCGCGCCGCCGCCGCCGCCGCCGCCGCCCGCCTGGATCGCCCTCCCTCCCCTCGCGTGCGCTCTTGCCTCCTCCGCCGCCGCCTCCTTTCTATCCTTTCCACTCGGGGCTGTGACGCGGCGAGTCTCGGCCCCCAAGTGGTGCCCGGGCCACTTGCGTCGCTCATGCTAATGCGACGTCGGCGGGGCGGGGGCCGGGGGCGGGGCGCGGCCGGGCCGGGGTCCCCTTCCCAGAGGCGCCGGGACTGGAAACCCTAGAGAAGGGTCTTGGTAAGAAGACCCCTTGGTCCTGGCCAAGCCCCAGAGGATGGATGCGCGGCGCTAGGAGCGGGCTGTCTGTTCCCCGGCCCCTGCCCAGTTCTAGGACCGGGGGGCGGGGGGGCGCCCTCTCTGTCCCCCTCCCCGGGGGTCGCGCAGCGGCCGCTCTGCACCCGCCCCGCTGGAGGAGGGCGCCGAGGGCCGCAGGTCTCCGCCTCCGCCCGGATCTCCGCGCGCAGCGGGCAAAGAGCCCCCGAGGTGAGCGCGGGCTGCGTCCATCTGTTCTCGCAGCTGGATTGTGGGGCGGCGATTGGTGGGGGGCCGGCACAGATCCCCCGACCCTCTCTCTGGCCCCACCCCTGGCCCCTTCCACCCCCAGGAAGGGAGGGGGAGACGCAGAGCCTGCTGGGCCGGGTTCCGACAGACCGGCCCTTCGGCCCTTCGTCGGGAGAATGTCACGGCAGAGAATCCCTGACTACGAGCTTCTGGGGGCCGAGGGGAGAAGTCGCCTGGCTCCCACCAGGGCCCTAAATATCAGCCCTGCCCCGCCCACCCTCCGGCACTGCTCCGCCACCTCCTCTCCGCAGGGACTCCCCCTTTCAGCTTCGCCGTCCGGGTCCCCAGCTCCGCCTCTTCTCCTTGCCCTCCTCCTGACCCCCACCCCGCCGTAACTCCTCCCAGGTGCTCTTCGCACTGGAACTAGCCCCCCACCCGCTTCAGCGAGCTCCCGCCCCCATTCACACCCCCTCCTCCCCAGACCCCTTCCCCTAAATCTACAAAGGGGCCTCCAAGTCTCCGGTGGGCTCCGGGCGTCACGTGGCCGGGGGCCTCTCTCGCAGTTGTAAGAAAGCCCGAGTGGGCGCCGCGCCCGCTCCCGCGGCAGGATCCAGCAGCTGCCCTCTCATCCGAGGCTCAAGGGGAGCTCACCCTCCGAGAAGGCCCCCACCGCCCAGACACCCCATTCTCTGCACACTGCCTGAGCTGCCCTGGCTGTGAGCTGGGCCTAACGTGTCCCCCAAAGAACAATGACCCTGGATGGCACAACGAGTCTGTGTTCCCAGTCGGGCCGGCTGGCAGGAGAAAGGCAGTTGAGATTGAGAGACTTGTGTCTTTAAGATTACAGTTTGCCTTTTCCAGAGTCAGAAAGAATTTTCCCATTCTTTTGGTCTCAAAAGTAAATTAGCATAAATCCAGCTTCTTTCTGTAGGTGTGCTCCCACCCAGAACGAGGCACGGGTGATGCAGTATACAGAACTTGGGCTTTAGAGACGGACGACTGAGGTGGCTCCCAGCTCTGACACTTTCTAGTTAGGGTGCCAGGGAATTACTTCACCTCTTTGTCCTCCAGTGTCTTTATTTGTAAAATGATGTAATAAGAGTAACTAGTGCTTAGGGTACTTGGCACATAACATAGTAAGAGTGATAGAAGTGCTTGTTGTTGTCTGTGAAATGTGTTCTTTAGCTTCCTTTCACAGTAGTGGGTCTTGTGAAGAGCAGGTAAAAGGTACAGGGGCATCTGGGCTTCCGGGCTAGTCCCTGTGGTTAGGTGGGCATTGAGATTCCAGGCTCTGTCCTAGCTGGTGGGAGGCATTGGCAAGTTGCTGCCCCTGAAATGGCTGTGGGATGAGGTGATAGGACGAGGGTGTCAGGGTGAGAGACAGAGGCTTTGGTACCTGTTACTTAATCTCTCCATCCCCCCAGGCATCCCAAGAAGGAGGAGAAACTCTTCCACTAAAGAGTTCCCAGCACCTGCTCTGTGGTGGCCAAACTGCCCTCTGTCTGAGAGAGGGAAAGAGCCCCAGTATGGGGACAGATCTGCCTCTGACTGACCTTTGACAAGTCACAGACTCTCTCAGTCTCCAGCCTTTGTTTCTGTTAAGTAAAGGGTGAGGGAAAAGCCCACTCACTACATTCCTCCTGGGGAAGTTGGTACTGGAGAGAGGCTCTTCAGGGTGACAGAATTATTTTAAATGTTATGTGAAGGCCTTGAATCAGCACAAACTCTTCAGCTTACCACAGTGTCCCTCCAACTGAGGGATATTTGCACATTTATGTCACCTGCCTAGCTTTCCAGTCATTTGAGTTTGAAACCTTGTGATGAGGAAAACAACTTTCAAGAAAAAACAACTTTTGTTTTTCTAAGTTGCTGCCTAGGCATTTTACAGTTTGATAGCCCTACACGCACCCAGAGTATGAACATTTAGATAAGGGCTTGAGTTTAGGATTTTTTAAAAAGATTATTTATTTATTTATTTGAGAGAGAGAGAAAGAGAGAGAGAGAGAGAGAGAGCTCTCACACATGCACAAGGGGCAGAGGGAGAAGAAGAGGGAGAAGCAGACTCCCTGTTGAGCAGGGAGCCTGATGCGGTGCTTGATTCCAGGACCCCGAGGTGATGACCTGAGCTGAAGGCAGATGCTTAATCGACTGAGCCACCCAGGCACTCCGAGATTAGGATTTCTTTCTTTCTTTCTTTCTTTCTTTCTTTCTTTCTTTCTTTCTTTCTTTCTTTCAAGATTTTATTTATTTATTCATGACACACACACACACAGAGAGAGAGAGAGAGAGAGAGGCAGAGGGAGAAGCAGGCTCCATGCAGGGAGCCTGACATGGGACTCAATCCCGGGTTTCCAGGATCATACCCTGGGCCGAAGGCAGACGCCAAACTGCTGAGCCACCCAGGGATCCCGAGTTTAGGATTTCTAACTTAAGTTCCCATTTGGCTTTTCCTGGGGTACCTTTAAAAATAACTACTTAAGAGTTAAGCCCACAAAATGTTGATGATCTCCATCCCAACCATCTTATAAGTAATAAGTGCTTGCTACCCTGCTGTCTACTCTTCACTGGTGATCTGGGACAGAGGACTGCCCTTCCGCCTGCTCATTGTAGCCACCCCCCAAGCACCCCCTCCCACTTCTGGGATCTATAACAAGTAAATCTGTGAGTCTACTTCCTTTGTATGGTTGTACTGAAACTACACTTTCAATTGAAGTGACCCAATGGATTTCACTTTCCCAGAGTGGGAGCTCAGATGCTGGGGTGTAGGTGGCTTATGCTTCCTCTTTCAGCTCATCATAATCTGCATATTATTTTTTTAATGGTTTTTTTAAAATTTATTTATGATAGTCACACACAGAGAGAGAGAGAGAGAGGCGCAGAGACACAGGCAGAGGGAGAAGCAGGCTCCATGCAGGGAGCCTGACGTGGGACTGGATTCCAGGTCTCCAAGATCACGCCCTCAGCTGAAGGCAGTGCTAAACCACTAAGCCACCTGGGCTGCCCATAATCTGCATATTCTTGATTCAGGACACTAGCTCCAGCTTCCCAGCGCAGACCTCCAGCCTCTTCTGATGCTCCCTTTGTGAGACCTTTAAAGAGGCAGTCTTCCAGCCTGCAGAGCATTTGTTATTTATGCATATATTGTTTGCTCTGCCTGATTTTAAAAGGGAGGCGAGATTTAAAGCAGATGTTTTTCTGCCTAGTGGCTGAAGAATTTAGAACTTAGTGGAATTTTAGAGAAAAGAAATTTTCCCAGGAACTTCAAGGTGCAGACATCTCTCCCAGCTGGCTAATCCTCATAATTCATGGCTGCACTTGAGCATGGAGCCAAGTTATTTCTGAGATCATGCTCAACTCTTCAGTCCTCCACTCACCAATGGCAGGAAACAGCCTCATATATTAAGCACTGTATGTCAAGGGTGTTATGTGTGCTGTTTCATCTAATCTCACTCAGTCCTGGCGGAGGTTAGGTGTCCTTTCCCCTGGATTACTGATGAGGAAGCTGGGCATAGAGAAACTGGGTCACTTGCCTGAGATCCCAACAGTAGAGCCTGGATTTAAACCAAGGCGGTGGGACCTTCCTTGTGGTCCTTGTGATACTTCCCTATTCCCTGTGCTTCACTGTACCTCCGCTACTCCATCTGCAAGGTGGTCACATCTTGGCAGTGTAAGGGAGAGTGACAGATGAAGATCGGTGGGAGGAGGAAGGTTCTTGGAAAGAAGCCTCCATAAAGAAGCTTCTGGGACACAGCCTCCAGCATCCAGCTCAGAGGCAGTCCTCTACCCCGTCAATCATCATCCCCAAGGACTAGGGTGCAGGAGTCTCAGGGAGTTGAGGACCCCCTGTCTCAGAAAAAGGCTAGGGCCTGATCCTTGGCAGAACATGGGAACCACCCCAGTTCCTGCGCAGGCCTGTCGGGAGCTGTCCAGGGTGCTGGTCCAGCTTGGCAGCGTGTTCTTGGATTGCCAAACAGCCTTGCACAACGGCCCTGCCCCTCCTGTCTTCCTGTGTCTCTGGCTTCCTCTTCAACTCTGGTAAATTCCTTTCCAGAGATTTCTCTTTCTGATCATAAGTTACAGGAAGAAGAGAACTTCCCATCCAATCATGCTGGAGAAAATGGCAGCATTTTCTTCTCTGCTTTCTCAAGTAGGTATAGGAACTGTTGCTACAGAGTACATATCTGTTACTCAAGGTAAGTCAAATGAGTAAAGGAAGGAAGGAATGTATTTTTTAAGCACATAGAAGTTCCTACAATTTCTAGACACTGTTCTCTCTCTAGGCAACTTACAAACATTAACTCATGTAATCCTCTTACCAACCTTCATATTACCTTTTTACAGGCAAGGACACTGAAGGACAGTAATTTATCCACAGTCAGAGTTCATAGGTGGTGGAGACAAGATTCAAATGCAGACTGTTTAGCCCCAGCAACCCGGCTCTCAACAACCATACTGTCCTGCTCCAGGATGGCTGAAGATTATGAGTCGACTTATTTGAAAGTATCTAGCTCAATGCCTGATACTTAGTAGGAGCTTAATTATTATTGTTTTGTATGGACAGAGACAGCTGGTCATTTCATGCTGACAACTTTTCTTCTCATTTTATCCATTGAATACAATTGTGGCCTTCATC